CCCGATGAGCTGTACCAATTGAGATGTTCCAACAAGCTGATGAAGTGCTGGAAACATTTAACTTGTCTGTGCTAGGAAATTTGAGAGACAGCTACTTGGCCCACTGACTGGAAGAGATCCATATCTGTACCCATTCCAAAGAAAAGTAACCCAACAGAATGCCCAAAGTTTAGAACAATGTCATTAATATCACATCTAAGTAAAGTTTTGCTGAAGATCATCCAACCATGGTTGCAGTCATACATTGGCGGGAAGCTGCCAGAGGTTCCGGATGGATTCAGAAGAGGACGTGAAACAAGGGGTTATCATTGCCGATGTCAAATGGATCTTGGCTGAAAGCAAAGGATACCAGAAAGATGTTTATTGTGTTTTATTGAGTATGCCAAGGCGTTCAATTATGTGGATCATAAACTATGGCTAACCTTGAGAAGAATGGGAGTTCCAGAACACTCAATTGTGCTCATGGATCAGGAAGGAGGCAACTGTGCAACAGAACAAAGGAGTGGTTGAAAATCAAGCAAGGTGTATGATGTAGTATCTCATCCTACTTCTTCAGTCTATATGCTAAGAAAATGATCCGAGAAGCTGGCTTCTAGGAAGAAGAATGTGGCATCGGGATTGGAAGAAGGCTTATTAACGTGTGACATACAGGTGATGCAACCTTGCTGGTTGACTGTGAGGAGGACTTGAAGAACTAGGTGATAAAGATCAAAGATCGCAGTCTTCTGCATGGATTATACCTCAATGTAAAGAAGACCCAAATCTTCCCAACGGAACCAGTAGGTAACCATGGTAAATGAAGAAAAGATGGAAGTTGTCAAGAATTTTGTCTTCTCCTCCCTTCCCCAATCATGACCCCAATTCTACCTTACAAATCCGGCTAGACCAGAGGATGTACACAAGTACAGATAAGAGCTGGAAACACAGGGAATCCAGGACAGATAAACCCCTCAGGACCAATAGTGAAAGCTGAAATATCAGGAGGGGGAGGGGAAGGTAGGGTAGAAAGGGGGAACCGATCACAAGGATCTACATATAACCCCTCCCTGGGGGATGGACAACAGAAAAGTGGGTGAAGGGAGACATCGGACAGTATAAGACATGACAAAATAATTTGTAAGTTATCAGGGGTTCATGAGGGAGGGGGGCGGAGAGGGAGGGAGAAAATGAGCTGATACCAAGGGCTCAAGTAGAAAAAAATTGGAGAATGATGATGGCAACAAATGTACAGATGTGCTTGACACGATGGATGGATGGATTGTGATAAGAGTTGTAGGAACCCTCAAATTGATTTTAAAAAATTGTCTTGCTTTGATCCACAGTCAATACTCATGGAAGCAGCAGTCAAGAGATCAAAAGACGCATTACGTAATTCTACTATACAAGATCTCTTTAGAGTACTGAAGTGCAAGGATGTTACTTTGAGCACTAAGGTGTGTCTGACCCAAGGCATGGGATTTTCATTTGCTTCGTATATGTATGAAAGTTGGACATTTGAATAAGATTGAGGAAAATCCCATGCATTTGTATTGTAGTGCTGGAGAAGAATATTGAAAGTACCATGGATTGTAAAAAGGACAAACAAGTCAATTTTGGAAGAAGTACAGTCAGCGTGCTCCTTCATCTTACATACTCTGGACATGCTGTCAAGAGAGCCCAGTCCCTAGAGAAGGACATCGTTTTTGGTAGAGGGGCAGTGAAAAAGAGGAAGACCCTCAAGGAGGTGGATTGACAGTGGGTGCATCATGGCTTCTGCATAGGAACAACTGTGAGGATGGCACAGGACTGTGCAGTGTTTCCTTCTGTTGTGCACACTGTTGCTATGGATCAGAGCCACCTGGGTGGCACATAACAACAAAGTGAACCAGATACATACATATATATATATATATATATATAATCATAGCTATATGACTCGATTTAAGGCTCGAACTTGATTCTAGCCCTAAGTTAGGAACCATTGAGTCTTAAGACATGGCCCTGCTGGACACTTGGCCTCATGAAGAGACCACTGAAGATAAGCGTGCTACAGCAAAGTGTGGTGAAGAAACCAGATGGTGTCAGGCTATCAGAAAGACTATTGTGTGGGGTCGTAAAGGCTTGTCTTCAAACAAACAGCTCTTAAAGTGAGGAATCAACTAAGTCCACATGGACGAAGCAAACCAGCCTACGTGATCCAAGGATTGTAAATCCTAAAATCCCTATCCAAAAGAGGGAATAATACCGGACTTTAAATTATAAATACTCGATTTGCAGAAGACAATGGGTGACAGTGGAGACCTAAAATCAAGGTCCCTATGTGGATTAAGTTCCTGTTAAATCCCCTCTGGTTATACTTGAGGGATGTGAATAGCCTTGCTATCAGATACTGTCATAAATGAGATCATGGCAGACGTAATTATGTTAAAAGTTAATAATATCTGATCATTTGATCTCCATTTTGACTCATGGTACCTATGTTCTAGTTTTAAATACTGCTATTTTTCTCAATTGTAGCTTTTTTCCCTAATTTTGTTATTGTTGGTCTTTTCTTTTTTTGGGTATGTTTTCTAGTATATAAGGATGAAGATGGGTGAAGCTATAGAGAGAGTAGCTGGGTTAAGGATTTAGTGGGGCCATGACAGTGGTGGTGGTGAAGGGAAATGGGAAGCTAATAAACGGGCTGAAATCTGACAGCTGCTCTCTGCTCCCACTTGTGGTGACTAGCAGAAGCACAACAACTGAAAATAGACGACTTTATTTGTATTTTTATTTTATTAGGACTTTAAAATTATTGTGGTGACAAGACACCTGCCAATTCAACTATGACTACATGTAGAAATTCTGTGCCAATGATCGCTTCGCTCAGTGTGTGATGACTGCCACCGGTCCTTTTCTGAATGACCCCACCAGCTGCTGGTGGGCTGCACTGCAAGCCGAGAGACTTACCTTGGTCTTCGGTCGCTTGAGCTGGACTTCTGTTCAGACTGGAGAGAGGTCAGGTTTTCTGATGGCCAAATGAAAATGGCTATTCTTATTTGCTTAGAGACATGATACTGGATTCGTTTACATGCTAACACTGCTGACATAAGTTTTCTATGACCCCCCCCCCTCCCAGGAAGACAGTGTGCCCTGAAAAATGAAGTGGCCAAAAAAATCCATTTTTGTTTGATGCGAGGCCCCTGTCCAAGCCAGCTGTTGTCTCGTTGACTCTGACTCACAGTGAGTGACCTACGTGTGCCAGAGTAGAACTGTGCTCCAAAGGATTTCCCGCAGCCTTGACCTTCTGGAAGCATACTGCCAGGCCTGGGCTGGACCTCTAAGGCAGCAGTCCAAGGCAAACCGGATACATTACCCAGAGGCTTCATGAGGGATTTCCGTGGAGATGGGGCGGTCTGCGTCTTGATCTCTGCGGCTAAGCCATTAATATATTTGATAAAATGGTACACAACTCTACATGGACACACGCACGCGCGCGCGCACACACACACACACACACACACACACACACACACACGAGAAACTGGCAGAGCCCGCGTGAACTGGATGCCTCGCACCAGTGTCAGGTTCCGGCTCCCATGCCGTGTGTAAGGTGACACCATTGGGTACACAGGTCCTCCTGGTCCTTTTTGTAACTTCCTGTGACACTTAAATTCATTTCAAAACGTTGAGTGTCATCAAGTCACAGCAACCCTGTGCCCAACAGAACGAAGCCCCGCCCGGTCCTGTGCCATTCTTGGTGGTTATATTTGAGCCAACTGTTGGAGCCACCGTGCCAGTCCATCTCATGGAGGGTCTTCCTCCTCTTCTTGACCCTGAAGTCTACCAAGTGTGATGTCCTTCTCCAGGGATTCTGAGAACATAATAAACTAACAAAAATGTAAAAGGCAGTGGCTACAACTGGCGCCAAGGCTGCTGTCTCATCTGAAGAGGCAGGGTGAGCGTAGTCGCAGGTCCCGGTGTGCTGGCATGGGCGCAGGCTCCGTTTTCCCTCCTTCCATCTGTGCACGCCCCACGTGTAGCTCAGGCAGCCGCAGGCTGGACTCCAGGCAGGACGAGCAAGATGCAGGCGAGGAGGAAGAGCATCAGGCAGCAAGGCAGTCGGTCACTTCTGTCCTTGGTGGCTACTTTCCACCTCTCAGCACCAGGAGTGAGGGATGTGACAACCCTTGGTTGCGAGAAAGGCTGGGAGGCGGTATTTTGGTGGTTTTTTTTCCCTGTTTAGTTTTGGACAGAGAGCATAACTGAACTGAGCAAGATCTCTCTGTAAGGAAGGAGCCCTGGTGGTGCAGCGGTTGAGTGCTTGGCTATGAACGAGAAAGTCGGTAGCTGGAACCCACCCAGCGGCTCTGCCAGAAGGCTTGGCCATCTGCTCCCATCAAGACCAGTGTTTGCTGTCTGGTGCGGGAATTTGTCTCAGCCCCACACTGACAGATGGCGGTGTCGGCGGGTTAAGTGCTGGGCCATACACTGGAAGGTTGGCGATTTGAATCTATCATCCTTTCAGAGGGACAGTGATGGGGCAGTCTGCTTCCATGGACGGTACCCTTGGGAAGCCTGAGAGGCAGCTCTACCCCGTCCTCTGGGGTTGGTGGCTGTGTGTCAACATAGACGTGGTGGTCGTGGGTGGCCATGTGTACAGAAGTGGATGACCACCAGGTCTTTGTCCTATGGAACCACTGGAAGGTTCTTTGAACCCCAACCTTTTGATTAGCAGGTAACTGCTTAATCACTGACTTGGCAGCATCTAACAATCATGGGTCAGGATGGGCCATGAGTGGCCCCTTCACCTGAGCCAGTGTCCCCACAAACACATTTTAAACACCCTCTACTCGGACCATAGCACCATCAACTGAGAAAGCAGTGTCCCCTTAAAATTAGTCCTTCTTTGTTCCAGATAACCAATGAGTCAGGAGCCCTGGTGGCATAGTGGTTATGTGTTGGGCTGCTAACTGCAAGGTCAGCAGTTCTAAAACACCAGCTACTCCTTGGGAGAAAGATGAGGCTTTCTATTCCTGTAAAGAGTGTCAGTCTCAGAAACTCACAGTGGCAGTTCTACCTTGCCCTATAGGGTTGCTTTGAATCAAAATGGACTTAATGATGAGAGGTTTGGGTTTGGACCTGTGAGTCAAAGCAGTCTTTTTAGGTAGCAGGGCCAGGTTGAGAAATGAGATTGTCATAAACATGCGAAGAATCAGCCCTTCCCACACGGCCCAACTCCTGTGGGACAATGACCAGGGCCACCTAAACCCCACATACGGTTACCATCACGCCATTGTGATTCATGGTGCTCCCTCTAGTGTCAGGGCAGAACTGCCTCCATAAGGCCTTCCGGGGCCGAGTTTGCAGAAGTACCAGGCCTTTCTTCTGAGATACTGCAGGCTATACTTGAACCTCCAACCTTTCTGCTAGACACCGCCCCAGGACAAGCTGCTACTGCTGGGTCAATTCCAATGCATGGCACCTCCCCGCCTACCCCTCCAACTCCATGTTTCAGGGTTAGGACTTCACTACACAGGGTTTTCCGTGGCTGAGTTCAGTACATCGCCAGGCCTTTCTTCTGAGGCAACTCTGGGTGGTCGTGGACCACCAGCCTGCCAGTTAATAGCCAAGCGCCAAATCGTTTGGCCACCAGGGCTCCTTGGGATAAACGTGAGCCCAAACTCAACCGTGTGCCTTCCAATCAACTGTGACTCACGGCATCCCCACAGAACAGAGCAGAAGCGCCCCCACGGGGTTCCCAAGGCTGTACCTCTGCATCGCAACACACGGCTGCACTGAGCAGCTGGTGGGCTCCACGTGACCTCCTCTCGGCAGCGGAGTGTTTACCCGCTGCACCACCAGGGGTCCTACAATGGCTTCCCAGCAGTTCTTAAAAGCTGGGTATGAGCCCTAACCTGAACGTTGGGAGGCGGTGGCCCCCCTGGAAGAAAGGTGGGCTGCCCCCGCCTCATTGCGACTCCTGGCCATTGGCTGGGTTCCAGCGTGAAGCTGCTCCCTCGGGTTTGGGGGCTGTCATCCTTTACGGAAACGGATAGCTAGGTCTCTCCTCCTTGGTGCTGTTGGGTAGGGGTAGGCTAGTGGCCCAGCGAGACCTGCTGGCCGCACGGGCGCTAAGGCAGGCCCAGGGGTAAAGGCAGCCTCATATCCACCGCATTCCGGAGGTTTCCCTCGCTGGCACCACGCTTGTGGCCGCGCTGCCCGCACGCGCGGGCCTTCTCCCGGGCATGGGTCCGTATGTGCTTGCGGAAGGAGGAGGTGTCGATGAAGGCGCGGTCGCACTCGGGGCACGGGTAGGGCTTCTCGCCGGTGTGCGTGCGGCTGTGCACCACCAGCGAGGAGCTCTGCACAAAGGCTTTGCCGCAGCGGCCGCAGCGGTAGCGCTTCTCGCCCGTGTGCGTGCGCACGTGGCGCCGCAGGTTGGACGAGTGGCCGAAGACGCGGCCGCAGTCACCGCAGGTGTAGCGCTTCTCGCCCGTGTGCGTCCGCTGGTGCACGCGCAGGTAGGAGCTGCGGCTGAAGGCTTTCCCGCAGGCGGCACAGGCATGGCGCTTCTCGCCCGCGTGGATCTGCGCGTGCACCGTCAGGTAGGAGCGCGTGCTGAAGCGCTTGCCGCACTGGGCGCACGTGAAAGGCTTCTCGCCTGTGTGCGTCCGCATGTGCGTCTTCAGCGACGACTGGTGACAGAAGGCGCTGCCGCAGCGCTGGCACGCGAAGGGGCTCTCGCCCGAGTGCGTGCGCGCGTGTCTCCGCAGGGACGAGAGGTGGAGGAAGCCCCGGCCACACTCGGCGCACCAGTGGGGCTTCTCGTCCGGGGGGCAGCCCGCGGGAGCCAGCGCCTGCTGAGAGAGGAGACAGGATCACTGGAGGCCCCCGCTTCCCCACCGAGCTCCCAGGAGGGCACGCCTTTTGCGGCCCACCGCTAACCTACGGGTGGAGGGTTCGACCCCTGCAGTGGCAGAGGAAGAAAGGCCCGGTGGTCTGCGTGGGAAGGGTCTCAGCCGAGAAAACCCTGCGCAGGGTTCAGCTCTGAAGCACAGCAGGGTCCCTAAGAGGCGGTGTCTCCGGTCAGGCTTTGGGGGTTCCGGCTTTGTTCCGCTGGGTTCTCCCCAGCAAGAACGCGGCTCTGATAGGCCATGTGCAGTTCTGAGGGATGACTTCAGCGTCTGGGATGGAGGTGAATCGCTTCCAGGCCACCTATGGTTTTCGGGGCCTGGGGGAGGTGAACACTTCGGCAGAAGCCTCCATCAAGCTAAAGCCTGTGGCAAAGCCATTAAATAAAGGAGGCTGGGGCTGCGCGTTGGCCTTGGGAGTCCCTCTCAAACACAAGGCACGTTGGTGACCATACTTCTTTGTGGAAACCCTTTTTATGAATTCATTATCTTACTGGGAGCTCTTTGTGGAAATGCGCGTGTGAAAATGAGCTTTATGTTTAGGATTTTCTAGGCACACCTTTCTATGCACACTAGCGCCAGCAGGCCACATCAGGCCCGCAGCACTGGTTTTGCAAATAAACGTGTTTTTTTAAATTAATAAATCATTTTATTGGGTGCTGTTACACATACTGTAACAGTCCATACTTCCATTATATTAAGCGGATTATGTACAAATATTGCCATCAACAATTTCAAACATCATCTTTGTTCTTGAGCCCCTTAACATCAGTTCCTCTTTATTCCCTCCCTTCCCGGCCCTGCCACCCTCTCAAGCCCCTATACATGATATACTGTTATTTATACATATCTTACACTACCCCTTCTATCCCTTCGCCTACAATCCCGGTATTCGTCCCCCTCGAGGGGGGCGGTATTTTGCCATCGTTGCCATCAGTTCCCGCTCCTTCCCTTCCTTCCTGAAGTCATTACACCCATTACTGTTTCTGAGGGGTTTGTCTATCCCGAGTTCTGTCCATTGAAAGCTCTCTGTATACTGATGTATCTATGCCATTCTAGCTGGATTTGCGAGATAGGACTGAGATCTTACCAGTGGTGGAAGGATTAAAGAACTAGAGGAGTGTTGTGTGTTTCATCAGGGCTGGACTGACCCTGGGTGTCTTGTCTTCCGTGAGACCCTCTGTGCAGGAAAGTCCACTTATGGGGGGGAGGGGGGGCTCTGTGTCTCTTCCTCGAGTCCTCTCCTTCACCTCGACGAGGTTGTTTAGCAAATCCAAGTTTTAGGGACCTTCTCATCTCAAGCTGGACATCAACAGCTGCTTTCACACCAGGGCCACAGGACTGGGTGGTTGCATCAGGGACCTCAGGGCCGTAGGTTCCGACCCACGTTTTCCTGGTTGAAAGTCAGCCTTTGATTCTTCCCAGTTTTTACTCTCCACAGACTCTCCTGAGCCTTGACATGGGAGTAAGAGCCTCCTGTTTCTGCCCCCTTGGCTCTCCCCCTAAGTCTGGCCCCTAAGCATCCAGCCCTTGTGAGTCTTACCCTGGGCAGGCCTTTGAACATGTTGTCTCCAAAATTCTCCTGTTTGGAAGTCGGCTCTTCGGTTTTCAGTTGCGTCCTCCAGCCTGAAATGACATGCCCCCCCCCCCAATAAATAAATAATGCACTGTCTTTGAGAGGAAGAAATGGTGCGACACTCAGCAACAGAAAGACAGATCACCCAATGGGCCTCTGGACATGCGGTTCTCAGAGGCATTTCTCCAAAGGGGAGAAGTAAACTACCAGCACATGAAGATACACTCTACTTCCTTACACATAATGCCAGGACCAGTGATGTCAGGCCAACCCTGACTCAAAGTGACCCCATGTGCGTGCGTCACAGAACTGAGCTCCATACGGTTCTTTTTTTTTTTCTTTCATAAGGTTCTTAATGGCAGATTTTTCAGAATTAGATAGCCAGGCCACCTGTAAGTTATTGCTAACAGAATTCCCTGAAGTGCCATCCTGCTGTGTATACAATGAGCACCCTGAGAAGCAGGAGGGAATTTCATTACCAGCAAGAGCCAGAAGTGGAGCAAGTTCTCTGGACCCAAGATCTCTGCGCAGCGACCTCGATCTAGAAGACAGCGATGCCAATAGAGGAGCAGCAGCAGAACCAGGAGCCAGAGCACGGGACAGAGTGATGCACTTCCCAACTCCAGGAGCAAGGAAAGATGCATGCTTTTGTGCAGGAGGCTGGCTTGCAGAGTAGTGTGCCTCTGTGCACTTAATTGGGGAAGTAGAGCTGAGTGCCTTTGGCCTGAGGCTTACAGGAGCCAGGTGCTTCGGGGCACTTAATCCAGGGAGCTGAGCTTGGTGACCCGCAGCTCAACCTTTGGAGTGAGGCTTACAGCAGAGTGGTATGTCCTTTGGGCATTTGTTAGCAGACTTGACAAAACTTGGTAACATGTCCCAATAAACAACTCTGCCCTGAGCATTTCTCACTGGCATTCCAATTTCACTTCCTTAATAAATCCTTTAATCATGACATTTGTCTGAGTTCTGTGTAGCCACTGCAATGGATATTAGAAACTCAAGAAGTAACACCACATTAATTGAAAACAGTGTACCTTGTCCTAAAAAACCACCGCAGACTTAGCAATTTCCTCTTCCTCACTTGCCATAGGACCCAGCAAGTCCACTCCTTGGGAGAGACCCAAAGGAGGTGAAGGCAGACTTGCCAACAGAAACTTGGGCACCTCCTGCTCACAGGAGCCCAGAGATGGAGATGGTTATCCACAGATGACGGATAATTACACTGTGGTACATACACATACACATACACACAATGGAACACTTCTCCATGAAAAGAAATGAAGTCCTCGTGCAGGACACCACGTGATACCCTTGAAAACATCCACCCGAGTGGAATCAGTCAGAAAAGGACATACACTGTCTGCTGTCACTTCTGTGAGGTAAGGGAATACGTAGAAGTCAACGACGATTTGCAGTGACCAGAGATGAGAGGGAGGATGAAGGCTATGTGCTTAGCGCTATGAACCCACTGCTGCCAGTCAATTCCTAGGGCACATGGTACAACTACCCCTGGGGTTTCTGAGACTTCAGATCTTTATGGATATAGACAGCCTCGTCTTTCTCTCTCAGAGCAACTGGTGGGTTCAAAGTAGCTCCACGTGTAACCCACCGCGCTATCTGGGTTCCTTCAGGGGCATGAGAATGACTGACATTTCCAGGCACCTGACATGGTGCCAAACTCCATGTTGACGCAGAGTTTTGCTTTGCTCTATAGGATGTCTCCCTCTAACTCTGTCACCTTCCCCTGGACCCCGTGGTGGGTGCAGATGAGAATGTGGTTTTATTGCTCAAGAATGTGAAAATTCAACCCAAACTCACTGCCATTGAATTGATTTCAAATCATAGTGATGCTATAGGACCAGTAGAACTGCCCCTCTGGGTTTCTGAGACTGGAACTCTTTATGGGAGTAGAGAGCCTCATCTTTCTTCCACAGAGTGTGCTGGTGGTTTCAAACAGCTGACCGTGTGGTTAGCAGCCCAATGTGTCATCACCTGCTAAAATCCATGGTTAAAAAAAAATCGTGGTCAGCCAGTTCTCTAAGGCATGTGGGTTCAGAACATTCTCTAAAATGTTCCAGTGCTTCAAAATAAGTAATTTCTTTTTCTTTTTCGATTTTTCCAGATAAATGTTTTTTGCTCTTCAAAGCACTACAGAGCTTTCTAGTTTTGTCTTGCTGCCCAGACATTACTATGAAATTCCATAAAAACTCATGCTCTTTTCATTTTTCACTCCGTACAGAGGAAAAGTGATTTCTTGGACGAGGGCAGTGGGCCGACATTCATGGTGGACAGGTGGGCTGTGTGTCCACTTGGCTGGACCAGGATGCTCAGTGGCTTGGCAGCAGAGGTCCAGTCATCGTAATCCCACATGATGTGATCTGACACAATGCAATCCACTCTGTGATGGGATCTGCTGCCAACAGCCACGCAACAGTAAGCAGGTTAGGTAGAGTGCAACCCCTTATTCAGGTCACAGCCTTGATGTAATCAAAAGGAGGTTTCTTCAAAAACGTGGCCTACTTCCTATGGAAATAGACGCTGTGGAAAGCTTGCTTGCTTTTTCCAGGGTCTGAAGCCTCCATCAGGCTCACCGACCTCTGGTTCTTTGGACTTGGGCCAATGGCCTGCCATACTGCCTGGCCAGATAGCGACCATGTCTAGGAAGGGTGTTACAAGCAGTAAGCAGGTGGCAGCAAGGGGCGCCTCAACACACTACATTGCAGAGGGTGGTCCCACTTCCGAAAATGAATGAGTTTCAAGTGTTAGTAGTGCCAAGTCTAAGACAGCCTAAACAAATTATTTGTATAAAGAAATCAGTTCAGCCTTCCGCCGCGGCAACCATCGAAGAGTAACAGCCATGGCTGTGCGCTACCCTATGGCCGTGGGCCTCGACAAGGGCCACAAGGTGACCAAGAACGTGAGCAAGCCGAGGCACAGCCGCCGCCGCGGGCGCCTCGCCAAGCACACCAAGTTCGTGCGGGACATGATCTGGGAGGTGTGTGGCTTCGCACCCTACGAGCGAAGGGCCATGGAGCTGCTCAAGGTCTCCAAGGACAAGCGGGCACTTAAGTTCATCAAGAAGCGGGTGGGCACACACATCTGGGCTAAGAGGAAGAAAGGGGAGCTAAGCAACGTGCTTGCAGCCATGAGGAAGGCCGCTGCCAAGAAGGACTGAGTGCCATGTCATCGTCACCCCCCCACCCCCAATAATAAAGCCTTTCCAGAAAAAAAAAAAAAAAAGAAATCAGTTCAATCCCTACCTCTTACCGTACACCAAAATTAACTCCCTGTGGGTAAGGCAATCTAAGCCACAGTGATCCTCCAGCTTCTGTGATCCTCCAATGTCAGCAGGTCGGATGATCGTAGGACAGAGTCAATGCCAGCTCCCTACCCCAATGGTTCCCAATTAACGATCACTTTGCCCCCCAGAGGACACTTGGCATCATCAAGAGACATTTTGTGTTTGTCCCACTCAAGGGGGTGCTACTGGCAGCATGCGGTAGCGGCCACTCCAGACAGTGGTCTAGTCCCCAAGTCAGCAGAGCCAAGGGAGGAACCCTGATCTAGGGGAGATAAATGAATGCGGGCAGCCTTACCAAGTGATGCCAGGTTCCTGTAGGTCTCCAGCATCACTTCTCGATAGAGAGTCCTTTGAGAAGGGTCCAGCAACATCCACTCTTCCGGGGTAAAGTCCACAGCCACATCCTCAAAGGCCAGAGACACCTGAAACAGGTCACACATTCCAGTTCTGCCACAGATACCCCCACCTGTGTCCCGAGGCTGACAGGGGGTGAGAGGGAGAGCACTGGGGAGGGGAAATCATTGATTCATGGTTCTGAGGTCCCCCATCAATCGGTCCCCAAGCTCAGGCCTCACAGCCTTCCCTAGTGGTGGCGTCCAGCCTTGTGCTTTAAAAGCTCCTCTAAGACTGAAGTCTAAATGTAACTTTCTTCAATTGCGCTTTTTTTCAACCTGCTCAGACCTGTCTGTGATTCTACACAATCTCAAGAACATACAAGAAATACTCAGGGAACAGATTAATGTTCCCCTCTCCCGCAGGCAACAAGCCTCTCACATTCTTCCTTTGTTTCCCTCAGAGGACCCAGTGGAAGATGAAGCAGCAAGGTAACCGGAAAGAGGGTCTGAGGGAGACACAAATGCAGGGTCAGTGAGAGCAATTCCGGGGCAGCCCTGCAATTCCTTAAGAGACCCCAAGATAGTAAGGAAACTAGAGACCAGCCAAGGCTGACTGCAGAAGGAGAGCAGAGAAGGGGTTGGAGGGGGTCTACTCTTCTCGGGAAAGGGAATTCTTTCAGCAGAAGGAGTTTTCCACTGACCTGCGACCAAGTTGTCAGAAACCCAGCAACCATCCCTTCCTCCTTTACGTCCCCTTCACGGCGATGGCCATGGTCTTGATCAGGCGCAGCTGGGAGGTGGTGGGTGGGGAAAAAGGAGCGAGTGATTCAAAAGAAAATTCAGTTGTTGTTGATAACTCATCATGACCCCAAGTGGGTTGGAGGAGAACTGAGCTACACTGGTTTCTTAGTGGCTGTCACTTTTGGAAGTAGATCACCAGGCTTCTCTTCCAAGGTACCTCTGGGAAGTCTTGAACCTCCAACCATTAAGTTAGCAGCCAAGTATGTTCACTGTCTACACCACCCAGGGACTCTCAGATGATTCCAAGCCTTCACACCTCCTCAAAATAAAAAGCCTACAAGTGGAGCCGTCGCTGTCCCCAGCAGCTACCTTGGGCCCAGTCCGTGGGTCTTGTGACTCATAAGAAAGGGACTGCCATTCTCATTCAATGCAAAAAGAAACTCCGATTTTATAGCCCCGGGCTATTTTGCTGCTCGAGGCTGTAACGTTTACATATGATGGTTCTATAAAATTTCGCCCCAGATTTCCAGAAGTTCTCCTTTGCCCATAAGCAGCCCTGGGCTCTTGGGCCTCTGCTCCAGCCTTGTCTGCTTCGTCCCCTCCTAGATGGCTTCTGCTATGACCACTTGGCTCCCCAATCTTGGGACCCTGCTGGAGTGCATGAGGCACCTACCTCCTCACCTCTGGTTGCCAACTGACCCAAAACTCACCCCGGGTAGAGTCTGCATCCGTGGTTGCCATCTTAGGGGGCTGTCACGAGTGTCTGCTTGCTTGGCTGAGCAGCGGCGATGTCAGCATTTTCTGCATTCCGTTCTCCTGTGGGCTCTGGGTCTCCAGGCCTCTGGACACCATGGCAGCTGCAGGCCTGTCTGAAAAAGCAGCTGCCATTACAAAACGCCTACCGCTTAATGATAAGACAACCACTATCCCAATCAAAGAACGCCTCCCTCATTGCTACAGAGCAATGGCTCGTGGCTAAGCAGTGAGCTGTGATCCACCACCGATCAAAGAACGCCGCCAGGACAGCAGTCTCTGGAGTTCCGTCTCAGCCATCAAGAATCAATCAAGAAAGAAAGGTTAGGCAGTTCCTTCAAAACCTGACCGCAGGGCTGCCTCTGACCCAGCCAGGAGCTCTGCTGGCACGTTGAGCTACCCACCGAGTTGCTCACCACCACCAGCTGTCCGCTCCCGTTGTTGCTGTGAGGTGCCGTCCAGTCATCCCCGCTGGCTCTGAGGTTTCCTGGGTGGCACCAACAGCTAAGTGCTCGACTATCAGCTAAAAGGGTGTGGGTTCAAACCCACCCAGGTGCACCTTGGAAGCAAGGCCAGCAATCGGCTTCTGAACATTCAGCCCCCGAGGCGGCCATGAGAGACAGGAAACCCTGCAGAGCACAGCAGCTCCACTCTTCCACGTCCCAGACTGCAGGCAATCCTGGTTGGCTTCACAGCAACACAAACAATACCCCCAGTGGAGTAGAGTAAAACCCAGCGATGGAATCAGGTACAACTCAGAGGAGGTGCTGCAGAGCCACCCCGTATGTTTACGCTCCTTCAAGGCCCCGGGCATCTCTCCACGTCAAGCCAAGACTCTCATATGCTCTGAAGAGTTGGGCATGTTTCACTGGGAACACTCTGGGATTTCCTGGTTTGTTTGTGTCCACATTCATGGGTTGGGTCAGTAATAGATGGAAATACATAGATATATTGGACCCCAGGTTTGGGGGGGTGGGGAAGCAATCTCCAACTATTAAATTATGGCTTGACCAGTGTCTCCCCACCTCCAGGTCTGTGAGGAATCATAAGCCCTCTATCCATGGGCATCCTCCATTTAGGAACCAGGTCACATTTGGCAGGGCAGAATCAGCAGAAAACAAGCATAAATAGGAAGGAAGGTAGATGCCATGTGGATGTCTCCCAGGAACTAGGAGCCTCCCAGGGTTACGAAGAGCCTAGTTACAGAGAAAGCCTTCCCCTAGTGACAGTGCCCTGAATTCAGACTTTGAGCCCTGGTGGTGTAGTGGGTTACAAGTTGGGCTGCTAACTTCAAGGTCAGCAGTTTGAAACTAGCTCTTCCCCGGGAGAAAGAGGAAGCTCTTTACTCCGGTAAAGAGGCACAGTCTAGGAAATCCACAGGGGCAGTTCCTCTCTGTCCATAGGGTCACTGTGAGTCCGAATCAACTTGATGGCAGTGAGTTTTTTCTTTGTGTATGTTTTTTAAACCAAAGGTCTCATACTTTTATTAGTTGTCAGCTTCTTAATGGAAAAGCATAAAAACCAAGGAAGAAACCAGATGTTTGCCAATACAGGTTCAACTCATCAGGTGGTGGCAACATTTAAACTTGCTACGACAGAATGCTAGTGAACCTATGCAAATGCTGCGTCATTAAGCTGGTGACCCTTTACACACACAGCTTGTCCTCTATTATCTCCTCTTGAAGTGGAACCGGATCTTATTGCCGATTTTCATTTGAATGCATTGGGGAATGGGACAAATCTGCTTTTGTTTCTTGGTCAGGAACCTCTTCATCCTGAAAATCTAAAGGGACGACATTGCAAAGATGGAAAGCAACTGCACGCACAGAATTGCAGAGAGAGGACGCCGGCAGTGAGGCTTTCAGAGTCTCTTGAACAACAAAAAGATAAAGTTATGTTCTTTACAGCCCCCCACTGGGGTACTTAAGTTCCAGGAGCACCAGGTGACTAAGACAATGATGTATTCCGAATGTGCTCTTGTCGTTGGACAAACTGACAGTAAAAACGTCACTGTCTGGTTTGTAGGTTAAGACAAGGTAATATGGAAGGACACGCACCTGGCATGTGGCAGAGAGCTTCCCAGGCACATTACACATTTGTATGCAGCCCAGAGGCAGAACTACTAAAATGGCCTTTGACTGCCTGGCTGGTCCAGGGCTGTCTGGGATGTCATTCTCTGAACTTTTTTTGGTTCGAACTAGTGCATGCAACAAGCATTTGCCAGCAGATGGAAGGAAATGGTCTAAACCCACTGAACAGAAGAGTCCAAGAATGAAATGGGCCATGGGAAGTAATTTTGTAATGGAAAGCTGTTATTTAGAACAGTGCTTACCTAAGTGGGTGAGACCGCTCCCTGGAGGTGGGGCTCCAGGGGTGGCGGCGGTGCTGGAACCATCAAGGGGGCTCTGCAAAAGCAGAGCCCGATGCTTTATCCTGGACTCTGAGCTACAGTGCAAACGTTTTTCATTTCAGAGTGCAGGGGGAGAGTGGGGACGGGGGTACTGAGTAATTTTTTTTTCTTCTGAAAAGTGGGTAGCAGGCCATGTAAAGTGTAGGAACCTGATTTAGAAGAAGGAGGCTTTCCAACTTGCCAGACGTTGCTGTGTCCTTTGTGCGTGTGAAAGATGGTGACGAGAAATACCTGCTAGGCTATGGAGGGCAGTGGGAGCCCCAATCCATCTGCAGAGCATCTAGTCAGATTAAGCTTCTGGCAGATCCCCTCTAGCCACAGGCGAGGGACTCGAACAGTTTTTCTATCAGACAATGATTATTGTAAACTTGATTATGGTGGATCGAACCATGGTATGATACTGGGTCAGTTGATCTCCATCTTGACCCAACCTGAATTTGCTCTAGGCTCAAGTATTTCTCGTTTGTTTCAGGACAGAAATTTCTTCTCTGGCTTTTAAAATATTGATGGTGGTCCTTTCTTACTTGTTATATGTATTTTAATTTTTATATCATTGCTATTTTCTTCTTGCCGTCTTGTTTTGTTTTTTGTTTTTTATTGTTTCTGTTGGGTTTCCCAGTTCGCAAAGCACAGAAGGAGTGAATACAGAGAGACAATCACTGATAAAATGTTTTATCAGGGATGGGATGGGGAGAGGAAGGTGGGGGGTTATGAGGAACAAAAAATGAATGTGGGAGGGAGTTAGAACTGATTGTGATGAAGTATATACAATTCTTTTTAAAAGCGATTTAACCATGGAAGTGTATGATATGTGAATACTAAATCAAAAAAACAACAAAAACTATGAAAAAGAAAACAAACTTGACCAATGGTTACCATGGGTGAAGGAGAAAGAGTTGTTGCTTAGGGGGCATTGAATTTATGTGACTGGTGATGGAATAATTTGGAAAAGGTTATCAATATTGACTGCACAACAAAAAGTGGATAATCAATGACATTGAATTATACATGTTAGAAATTGTGGAGTTGGAAGATATTTTGTCGTGTATATTTTTGCCACAATTAGACAAAACATCATTAGCTGAATAACAATGAGTACAAGGAAGAAAATGGTCTAGAATTGAGTGTGGTGATAAGTGTACGACTCTTCTTGATACGAATGAGTTATTAAGTTGTATGACATGTGGGTGAAGTGCTAATACAGCTTTTATTTTTTTTAAATAAAGCTTGTTAAGTATTTCATTAATTAAAAAAGAAATACCTGCTATGCTTCTCTCTGTTTCAGTGGTGGTGCAGGTGCTGTCCTGGTGGCTCCGGCTCCTTGCGGCCCCATGTGCTCCACAGGGTCTCCCAGGCTGTGCCCTCTTGGCAGCAGACTGCTAGTCCTGTCTTCTGAAGCACCTCTGGGTGGGTTCAAACCACCAGCCTTTCAGCTAGTAGTAGAGGGCTTCCTCCTGCCACTTCCCCACCGGGACTTCCTCTGGAATGCTTATTAGGAGCCCTTTCATCCTGGCTCTTGTCAATGACCCCCAGGTAAGGAAGACCACCAGGGCACACCTGTGGTAAACAAGATGAAGTGTATTACTCAGCACAGCAAGGGAAAATGTACAACTCAGGGCTTCTAGGTCAGAGGGCGTTAGGACATTACAGGATTTGGGATTGGGTTTGAGGATACTAAAAAAAAACCCAAAAAACAAAAATACCAACTTACTGCTACCAAGTTGATGCTGACTTATAGTGACCCTATAGGACAGGGAAGAGTTGCCCCTGTGAGTTTCCTAAACTGTAAGTCTTTGTAGAAGTAGAAAGCCCCATCTTTCTCCTGTGGAGCAGCTAGTGGTTTCAAACTGCTGACTTCACAGTTAGCAGCCCAATACGTAACCACTATGCCACCAGGGCTCCTTTGAGGACACTGGGGAAGGTTTAAAGAAAGTAAACCTTTGTTCTGGGGAGGATGCTGTCAGGAAGAAGTATTGCTATAACCGCCTACATTAATTTTACCTACAGGGAGTTACTGGGTACAGCAAAAGTTTAAGGAGCTCAGCTGTGAAACGAAAGGGTAGAGGTTCAAGTCCTTCCTGGGGTGCCTCAGAAGACCATCTTGGCAATCTACTTCCAGAAAAAACAAACCAGCACTTTATAAAGTTCAGTTCTACTCTTTTTTAAAAAATGTGTTTTAAAAGTTCTATTAAGCATGTCAGCTGGACCGCTCAGCTGATTCCACTGTGGTTGGCCAGAGCAAAGTGTCACAGTCAGGAGCAAGAGGGACATGCTGCCTTCTTGCTGCCCGGCCTGATCAAGGCGTTGGCCTTGACATCTACAACGAGCAGAAGAGTGTTACAGTTGATGTTCTTCATGGCAGATGGGCTCCATGGTCGGGGGAACTTGAAGATGGCAGAGTGGTCCAGCTTATTTCTCCTGGGGGCGCTCTTCAGAGGGTATTTCTTTTTTTTCTTTTATGTATAAGAGAGTTTTATTTAAATGTTAAGTGCGCATCAAGAAAACATCCCAACCCAGTGCTGCCCAAGCCCACAAGTCCAACATTCACCCATATGTCCAACACCAATCCACAAAGTCCTGCTCCATCTCACAAAACACACGCAATGATGCCGACTGCAGGAGGAAAGCCGAGTCAGTGAGTGTGTAAGCATCTCAGCGCTGGCAGGAGTCTCCACATGGCTGCTCCAGCACCCAGGGCTGCATCGGGGTAGGTTCATGTGGCTTCTTCTCAAGGATGTCTTGCAGGAAGTGAGCTTTGGCAGCTAAAGCAGGGAACGGGCTAAGGCAGTTGCACCCTGGTCTAGCCATCAGAAAGCAAGAGACCCGAGAACCCTTCAGAGGGTATTTCTCAGCCTCAGGGCCCTCGGCTGACAGAAGGTGCGTGACACTCGGGTCTTTTGTGTGTGTGTGGCTGTGGCCGTGGATGCTTTTCAGCATGGCCTTGCATGCCTTTGCTTTGGCTTCAGTTTGGGGGGCAGGGAAAGCTTCCTTCTTTGCCTTTGGTGCCATCTTCGTAAAAACCCTACTCTGAGGTCATGGGGGTAAGAAGTGACCAGATGGCACTGGTTCATGGGGGACAATACGACCCTTAATGCCAGCAGGTTGATTCTGACTCAGGAGGCCAGGAATGAGGAAAGGCTAAAGTGGTGATCGGTAAAAATACAGTAATCACTTGGACTGGCCACAGGATGGCAGTCCTAGCTCCTGCCAGGAGGGTCGCAATTTCTGTCCTGATTGTGGGAGCCTAGTCTGATGTTGAGGTCCTGTAAGGCTGCTATATGTTCAACAGGGATGGGCCACAGCTTGGCCACTCACAGGCCAGCTTCGGCCTACGTGAGCTGCTTTTCTCATTCATTTATCTCAGCAGCTAAAAACCAAGACCAAACTCACAGCCATGAAGTCAACTCTGACTCACAGAAACCCTACAGGATAAGGTAGAACCGTCCCTGTGAAGTTCTGAGACTGTCGTTCTTGATGGGTGTAGAGCAGAGTGGCCGGTAGTTTCCAACTGCTGATTTTGCACAGGTACAACCCAACACACAACCTCTATGCTCACCAGGGCTCCTCAACAGACTAAGAGGTAGGTACTATGAGGAGCTAGGACGGAAAGACTTCATTTTACTTACTTTGGACAGGTAGCAACCCAACACGCGGGGAAGAACGTTACGCTTGGTCAAGTAGAGACTCTGTGAAAAAGAAGACCTTCAATGAGACGGATTGCCACATCTCGTGGCTGCAACAAACGGGCCCCATCATAACAATGGTGGTGACGATGGCGCAGGGCCAGGCCACGGTTGGCTCTGTGATTCATAGAGTCACTCTGAGTTGCAGCCAACTGGAAGGCGCCTGACAACAACATTCTGCAGTGGAAACAGGCCTGGTGAAATTAGGGATCCTCGCCAACAGTTAAGCACTAGGAAGTGGCAGCAGCCGAGTGATTCTGGTCAGTCTGGCGCCAAAGTCCTTATTTTCACACACTCACCCTACCTACCCCTCTGCTTTAAGCCTTTGTATACACAATAGCAACAATAAAAATAGATATCGCATATCATGTACGAACGCTATACGTTACACAGGTACATTGGCATAGTGCTGGGCTGCTAACTGGGAGCTCAGAGTCTAGTCCAGCAGCTGCTTTCTTGGAGAAGAATAACCCTATCTGGTCCTGTGAAGCTTTCCCGCCTCAGAAACCCACCGAGGCCATTCTGTCCTTCAGGCTGCTGTGCGTCAGAATTGACTGGATGGCAGTGAGTGTTTCAGAGAGAGTGTGAGTGATGGGTCATTAAAAGGAACAGCAATGACAGCCATTAATAATTGGAATTTGGAATTACAAAGTATGAATCTCGAGAAATAAGAAGTAATTAAAAATTAAATGGAAGGCCTAAAGATCAATATTCTAGGAATTAGTGAGCTGAAATGGACTGGCATTCGTCATTTTGAATCAGAAAATTAAATGGTTGACGATGCTGGAAATTACACAAGCGAGAGGAATGACATTGCATTCATCTCCAAGGTCAAACATTATCATGAACTCTGCAAAGCCCTGAGTTAGAAAACCAGAAAGGGAAAACATTCTCAGCATATCTTAAATGGAAAGAACTCAAGAAAAAACTCAAGCCTCAAGTTACAATATGAAAGAGTCTATGGGCAAAATATTGAATGATGCAAGAAGCCTCCAAAGAACATGGAAAGGATACACGGTCACTGTGCCAAAAAGCCTAGTCGACACATAACCATCTCAGGAGGTAGCATAGGCGCAAGAACCAACGGTGCAGAAGGAAGCAGTCCAAGCTGCACTGAAAGCGTCAGCCCAAGACAAGGCTCCAGGAACTGCTGGAATACCAATTGAAATGTTTCCAAAAGCTGATGAAGCACTGGAAGTCCTTACTGGCCTTTGCCGGGAAATTTGGAAAACACTACTTGGCCAACTAACTCGAAGAGATCCATAAATGTACACATTCCAGATAAAAGATGACCCAACAGAATGTGCAAACTATAGAACAGTATAATTGATAGCACATGCAAGTAAAATTTTGCTGAAGCTCATCCAACAATGGTTGCAGCTGTACATTGATAGGGAGCTTCCAGAGGTGTAGGCTGGATTAAAAAGAGGATGTGGAACAAGGGATATCATTGCTGGTATCATCTGGATCTTGGCTGAAAGTACATAATACCAGAAAGATGTTTTACTTGTGCAAAGGCCTTCGTCTGTCTGGATCATAACAAATTATGGATAGCCTTGAGAAGAATAGGAATTCCAGAACACTTCATTATGCTCTGCACAACCTGGACATAGATCAGGAGGCAGTTGTGAGAACAGAACAATAGGATACTGCTTGGTTCAAAATCAGGAAAGGTGTGTGTCAGGGTTGTAGCCTCTCACCTACCTTATTCAATCTGTATGCTGAGCAAATCATCAGAGATGCTGGATTCTATGGTGAAGAATATGGATCAGTATTAGAGGAAGGATTATCCTTGAGACACGCAGATGACACAGTGCTGCTTCCTGAAAGTGAGACCTGGAAGCACTTGTTGATGAAGACCAATATGGATTACAACTCAATGTAAAGGAAACAAAAATCCTTACAACTGATTCAAGAGGTAACATCATAATAAATGGAGAAATGATTGAAGTTGTCAAGGATTTTTTCTTGCTTGAATCCACAATCAGTGCTCAAGGAAGCAAAAGTCAAGAGATCAAATGATGCAATGCATTAGGTAAAGTGTTGTGCAAGACCTCATTAGAGTGTTGAAAAGCAAGGATGTTATTTTGAGGTCAAAGGTGGCCCTGATTCACGCCTTGGGATTTTCAACCACCTCATATGCATGTGAAAGCTGAACGCTGCATACGGGATACTGAAGAAGAATCAGTGCATTTGAACTATGGTGCTGGTGAAGAATATTGAAAGTACTATGGACTGCTTAAGAACAAACAGCTCTTTCTTGTTAGAAGTAAAGGCAGAATTATACTTCGGGCATGCTATCAGGAGAGACCAGTCCTTGGAGAAGGACATCGTGCTTGGCGAGGGGGGGGCGGAAGACAACTGGAGTGGGGTTAGGGGGTGGGAAGGAAGGTCCTTGCAAGACGGATTGACACATGTCTGCAACAATGGTCTCAAGTGTAAGAACACTTCTGAGGATGGCACAGGGCTGGGTGGTGTTTCATGTCGTACATAATTCAGAATCGACCCGATGGCACCTAACAAGAACAATATAGATATACGTACACTTTATATCCACCCACCTCACTGTCCCCGAGTTGATTCTGATCATAACGCCCTAAACAGGGTTTCTCAGACTGTACATCTTAACGGGAGCAGGCAGCCTCCCCTTTCTCCCGCCAGTTTGAAGCGCCTCCCTTGTCATTAGCGGCCCAACGCCTAATCTGCAGTGCTGCCAGGGCTCCTTCGTTTTATAGATACACATATATCGCATGATACACGTATGCCACACGTGTTCTATATATGAGCACATCAACTGTAATATATAGCATCACTTCTCGTCGGAAATTCGGGCTGACACTTCCTAGCAGTACGTGCGCGAACAGCTCTGGGGCTGCTCAAACGTGAATTCCCCAATTTATAAAAGTGGGCACTGGACGCAGGCAGGGGGGGCAAGGAAACCCACATGGCAGTGGGCCCGGCTCCAGGAAGCCCGTTTTGCACCCCAGACCCAGCGCAGGCCAATCAAGAGTCTGACGGGCCTTCGCAAGCCCCAGATTCTGGCGGGTGAACACGTCCCGCGACCCCCATCTCAGGTCCCCGAGGTCCGCCGCCCTCCGGAGCCATCTCCTTAGGGGCCAGACCGGGATCCGCCAGCACCACGACCCCGCCCCCTCACCGAGCCCCGCCTGCCTACCCGAGCCCCCGCCGCGAAGAGGCGGAGCCGACCCCGCCTTGGAGACCGGCGCAAACAGCCCTCAGGGGAGGCGGGCGGCTAGGAGTTAGACCCCGCCGCAGGAGCCAGCGACGGCATTTCCGGTTCCGGGGCCGCCGGAAACGGAAGAGGTGGGGCTCGGCCGGTTTGTGATTGGCGAGACACCTACGAGTGGCGGGTTGTTTGTCCAATCGCAGATCAGCAAATCGCTAGTCCCCGCTCACAAAGGATGCGATTGGGCTCTGGGATCTCATCCGCGTATCCGAGGCTGGCCTAGACCGGAACTAGGCGTAACTGAGACTAGGCCCGCCTTGGGGGCGTGGCCTGGTTGTATTCCTACCAACTGTCGTGAGGATGTATAACCTCCCGTGGACGTGGCCGGGTCCGGGTCCTCCCCATCTGGGCAGAGCTGAAATCGGAGGGGTGTGTTTGCTCAGCAGTTCGATAAACATTTTTTTCCTACTCAGAAAGCTAAAGAAAAACGCATGAGTTTTCCCTTTTGATGCTTCTAATTTATGAAAATGAGAGTAGATAGACATCGCTCGGCAACTATCTTTTCTTACTAAATATTTCAAGTTTGTCAAAGCCAACCCGTTGGGGTCTGTTAAGGTGGTTAATAACTTCACGGTCGTTAAGTCCCTCTCCATCTGAATATCGGGTCTCCCAGAAGCCTTCGCCAGAGACAAACACTGCCATCAGCCAGCTTCTTTTACTTATTTTTTATTTTGCTACTCCATAGTTAATCACGTGAAGCAGAATTGTACAATTGCTACCACCATCAGTTTCTAAACATTCTTTTTCTTCCTGGACTCCTTGACATTGTCTTCCTTTTACCACCCCCAACACCACTGTACACCCCCAAAACACAACAAAAAACACCGTATTCTACTTGCTGTCCCTATAGATTCATCAATCCTGGGTTTCATTCAACCACCTTCTTAAGTAACTTTCCAAAAACGTCATGTTTACACTACCAGAAGCTTGTACTTACTCCTTCCATAAGTATTCCTTCATTCAGCACCCCCTATGTCCCAGACTCTGTTCTATGCACAGCAAATACAGCAATAACCAAACTACTAAAGCTTAGTAACTAAACTCACCGTCCTCATCTTGCTGGAGCTCCAGTGGGGGAGGGTCAAAAAAATAAATCTTATAAATAGAATATATATACAAAACGCAGCAAAAGGCCAAAGATTCTCAAGGAGATGGAGCGACACAGCGGCTATACCAATGGGCTCAAGCATCTCAATTGTGGGGACAGTGCAGGACCCTTCAGCATTTCCTTCTGTTGTGCATGGGGATCATACAGTGATCACATACCAGGGTAAGTTCAAAATTATTGTTATAAAATCCTAGAGGCTTTCACAAAACAGAAAGTATCCAAAATGGGAAGGTAATGTTTCTCACATCTCCTCCTGCCGGTGTTTCTATCTCGATGCCCCTTCCCCCTGAAACATGCTGCCCTCTTCCCTGTCCACCAGGTTGGAACGGCAGTTTGGGGTTCTTCAAAGACATTCCTTTCTAGTGTTCTTTGAATTTAGGGAAGAGAAAGAAATCTGAAGAGGCAAGCTCAGGGCTGTAGGGCAGATGAGGTAAGACTTCCCAACAAAATTCTCGTAGGCCAGCCCTGACGACCAGGTGCATTTTCATGATGGGGCTGTTTTCTGGGCACAAGTTTCCTGGGCTTTTTTCCCTCACTGGTACAGTTTTCCGTTTTCTTAAAATTTGAGCACGCTGTTTTCTTTAAAAAACAATGATCAATGTGACCCCTTCGCAATCCCCCAAAGCCAGTCGCCCAACCCTCTGAGCGAATGCCCCCTTGCCTTCGATGGAACTGGCCCAGCAGATTCCCTCTGAAGCCCCTGTTTTTGATTAGATCTTTTTTCTCCCTTTCTTTTGAAGGCATTCTAGGGGAAAACGGCGTGTTACTGAGAGAACCTGCCTGCAGCCAACACGGCTTGCAGAAACATGTTGGAAAATGTTGGGAATAAAGCCATGCGTGTGCGATCTGGGACTGGACGTACTTCCAGACTTAGCCTCACATATCCCAAGGACTCCCTGGGTGGCACAGGTGGTTACGTGCTTGGCTACAAACGGTCAGATTGGCCGTTCAAATCCAACTAGAAACATCTCAGAGGAAAGACTTGGCGATCTACTTCCAAAAGGTTAGCAGTCATTGAAAATCCTAAGGAGCACAAGTCTACTCTACACCAGGCGGGGCCGCCATCAGCCAGAACCAGCTGGGCAGCATCTGGTGTGAAACCCACTCCGAGCAACCCTGTGGGGCAGGGAAGGACCGCCCCTGTGGGCTGCCAAGACTATAACTTCACGGGAATAGAAAAGCCCCATCTTTCTCCCGGGAGCTGCTGGTGTCTCGGTGTGCTGGCTTGGCAAATAGCAGCGCAGCATGTAGCCATTACGCCACCACAGTCCTTAACTACGGCTACGTCCTCAAAAACATAAGGGGTGCATAAATTGGGTGACTTTGTGTTATATAAACTGTGTCTCAATAGAAAGAAACAAAGACGCCCGTCGCCATTCTGTCTCGTGGCAACCCCATGTGCTCCAGAAGCCTAACTCCAGGATCTTTGTTTGCTTAATCTAAAACATAGATGGTCACCAGGCCTTTCTTCCACGCGCTGCTGGGTGGATTCGAATCTCCAACCTTTAGGTTAGTCCTTGTTGTTGTTCGGTGCCGTGGAGTCGGCACCAACTCGGAGCGCCCCTCTGTATAATAGAACAAAACATGGCCTCGCCCTGTGCCCTCCTCACACGGATCCCTTTGTTTGAGCTCATTGTTGCAGCCATGGGTCAATCCATCTTGCCTTGAGCCTTCCTCTCTCTTGTCACTGCCCCTCTGCTTGACCAAGCATGATGTTCTTCTCCAGGGACTGGTCTCTCCTGGAGACTGACCTCACCGTCTTTGTCTCTAAGGAGCCTAACTCTGAGGTCAGCTGCTTCCGAGGGAAAAGGAATATAAGACTTTCTGCTCCGTGAAGATTTACCGCCCCAGACACCCACAGGGGCACTTTCATCCTGTCCTATAGGGTCGCTATGGGGGAGACCCCTCTCAATGGATTGGAGTTTAAGGGTAGTGGCCCATTGTAAACAGATTGGGCACTTTGTTGAAGCTGCACCGAAAGCCTCTACCTTCAGGGGGCGACCAAGACCGCAAATTCTGCCTTCTCCGGGTTCTGCCCTTACATGGGCATTCCCCATTGCTCTGCGGATCTTTTTTTCTTTTGGCGTGGTTTTTGTTTTGTTAGTTGCGCTCAGCACGACCTGCAGTTTTTACCAATGGAGGTGTGTGGCACCCCTGCACCCCACACGGGGCACTTCTTTCGGCGCCATTTTCCCAGCAGCGTGTGCCCACAGTGTGTCTCGGGGTCACCCTTTGGTTATAGAGCTAAAAAAATTTTTAATCGTTTTATTAGGGGCTCGTACAACTCTTAATCACAATCCATGCATGCATCAATTGTGTAAAGCACATTTGTAAATTCATTGCCCTCCTCATTCTCAAAACATTTACTCTCCACTTAAGCCCCTGGCATCAGCTCCTCATTTTTCCCCTCCCTCCCTCATGAGCCCTTGATAATTTATAAATTATTATTTTGTCTTATCTT